AAGCCTTTTTCCACTTTGGAAACACCGATGCAGTTTCTTTACCTCAGTCGCACTAGTTTCGATCTTGTCTTCCATTTTTTATCATAATCTGGATTACTCAAAATTATCGTGAACGATGCCTTTAAACGGCGCTGCAGTGGCAGCATTGATCCCAATGGAGCACATAAATTGAAAGTTCAAATGGATGCTACGTCCTCTGCCTAGTCCAGTGAATTTGTTCTCGGTATAGATAGGGCAAATGATTGTGAAAAAGGATCAATAGCGATAAACAAAAAATAGCTAGTAGATGGGTGATCGCGGTAGTACAGAATTTTGATTTCATGCAGTCTCGACTCACGGCGGAGATGGGTATATAATTTTCGGCTCTTTTTGCTTACACAGTCCAAGTTACTCAGCTTACAGCCGAAAGCCGATCGCTAACGACTACAATGATTTTGATTCAAAGGAAAGGACAGCTAACGATAGTGCGAATCGGGCTGTGACGGCCCTTAGGAAGCTGGAGGAAAAGCATCACAGAGCAATTGTGAGGCCCACGATACTGTGCGGCACAGTGTGCTGACAGGATCGATCACCAATCGGAACTTTTGCTCGCCAGTAGGCAGGATCAAAATCGTTGCAATGATGTTTTTCCTATCGGTGCTGGAAGGAATCACTATCCCAGTAGGTGATTACCCGCTGAATGTTCTTCGAGGCGTATTCCCACACGCAAAATTAGAATGCGTTTGAATGTGGACCGACCGAAGGGCACCCTGTTCTCGGGAATAAAATGTGGTTACACATATTTTCATAAATTTTAGGTATCGTGAATAAAACCTGTTGGCATCAGCACCAGGGCAATACATAGTTTTGCAGCATTGATCTTAACCATGACCCTTGCTAAGGGAGGAGGTGGTGTAATGGCAAGTGGCGCACTATCTCACAAGCATGGTCAGGGGTTTGAATCCCAGATTGATTTCCGCCCAAGTTATCTACCATAGGCCTTCCATCCCTTCGAGGTCGGTTAGTTGGTACCAGACTCGTCTGGGAGGATTGAAGCAAGGACTTGTACATAGGCTGGCCACCGCAAGTCATTGTATAGGCCACATATGCACTCATTACGCCACAACGATTCTGAATGGAACTCGAGTGCGGGGGCGCATCCCTCGGCGGGATTGATTAATGCCAAAAACTGTCTCCCTTATCCTTTTTTATGACGCTGGCTAGCATATTTGTGACTAACCGCTGTGGAGCTAGCGTAACTGCACACTCATTGAGAAGACTGCAAAACCAAACGATAGTAAAGCATTCAACCTTGAAGCAGAAGAAGAGATCGATCTCGAAGTCCATAATAAGAGCTGGTGAGAAGTGATCAAAAAGGAGCTCGACGAAATCAAGAGTAGAGCAGAAGGTACTGTAGGTAGGAGAAAGTGGAGACGAATCACAGGACGCGAAACCTACGACGGCGGGGAATTGACGTGGGAAAGCATAAGCGGAGTGTCATGCTTGTTCCTCTGAAATCAGCTGTAATTCCATTCACATTTTTTTTTTGCTGAACGTTCTAATTATCTACAAAACAACTATTTTATTGCAGCAATTGATAAAATAACACTTTTATTGAGCACATCTATCTACAGCAAAAAAAATCGAAAAGAAAGAAAGAAGGAACACGATAGGAATACTTGATGGTAATCGCCCGTGGTGGAAGTCATCTAAAAGAAAAAATGAACCCGCTTATGCAAGCAGAGCAAGGTGATGAGTGCCTCACCACACTCGTAACGCACTGAAACAAAATGAAAAGTGAGCAATAACAAGGTTTAGAACCAGTGAACAAACCCATAGTGGCAAAAAAACTATACCAGTGATCAAACGCAGAATGATCAATAGAAGATATTATATAAATTCTCTAGAAAGTCACTACTATAACAAGAACCATAGAAAAGTTCTCCGTTGAAATACACAGTGAAATACAGGACTATGAATCGATATTCCTTTCAGAAGACCAGTTCATTTCAGTCGAGCTGCATTGTTTGCAGTTGAACTTGACTACAGCAGCCGTTCCAACGGCCTCCAAATGTGCCCCCGCCAGTTTAGACCCACATCTGGGGCAGAACTTGAACAACTTCATTAAGACGTTCCCTTTGACGAGAAAGTTTTGGCTCAAGGCATGTGGATCCGTATCCTCGACAGAAGAGGAAGTTGAAAAGCAACTTTCGGATTCGTCATCAGTTACATACACATCCGTGTTCTAAAATACTATCTTTATGTTAATAGATTTCATTAATCTACGCAAATGTTACCTCTTCGAGAACAGAGCTGGTTGGATTTTCCTCGTCTTCTTCAGAGACGGAGTTCTCGTTTGATGTAATGGAGCATGGCCTTTCTGACACACCCCTCACCCCTCCTTCTTCGAAATTCTTGACAATGCTACTACCCCTACCGATGCGGACCTGGATTCAAATAGGAATCATAACACATCGACATTTGACCGTTTACCATTTATCACCTCTTCCATTTCCGGCCAAACACTCGTTGAATAGTAACGCTTAAGATTTTCATTGATAAATTTGCTAACTTCGCGGCATGAGACGACGGTCTTGCCCTGAAACTGTAGCTATTCCTCATTTAGAAAGTATGCGGACAAAATCAAAAATCGTACTCCTGCCAGCCTATTCAACGTGTTTACTAAATCCAGGGGAATGTCTATATCTGTCACATATGCTGTTCGTCCAGATGGAGTGCTCGGATCTTCGAGTTCCTCGAACGTATTCCCAACCGCTGCCATCTCAGCCAATAGAAATTGAGCCTGAAATTACAATAATTATGCACTTCTACGCACTGATATAGTAAAATTCTTCTCTTCTTACCGCTTGAGCCAGATGCTGATGGCAGACAAACTCTAGGCGCTTTGTAGCGGATTCAAATAGCCTACGTGCCTCTTCGATGTTCATATGACCAGCTAGTGAAAGTGAAACCAGAAGTATGACATTCTGGTTCAACACCGATGACGTCCTTCTGGCGATCGCCGAAAGCAATGCCCTTCCACAGACCGCACAGAGCACCATCTTCAAAAGTAGTATAAAGGTTACTGCAGAAGGTCGAAATAAAAAGCTTGATCTGCGACTAATGAGATGAAGTAGCTTTGGGAGAGTTTAACTTCCTTCACTTAAAGAGGTGAAAATTTGGCATTCTCGAAACTTCCAGAACAAATATACCTATCTCATATGAAACCACGATTTCTGTAGCGATCTTTTCTGGAAACCTTGCACTGACATAGAAACGAAAATTCGGTACGGGCACTCGGCTCTTACAGTAACCCCCTAGCCGTCAGGAAAGCGATCATTTTGCCTCTGATTTCCCTTACCAATTTCCGCCAGGGGTACGCACACAATAAGTTCCACAGAGCATTTGCAGCATAGTGGTGGGCCTATAATGCAATCAAGAGCAAACGAATATTATGCCAAGATTCAGTGGTTATGGAAATCGAAGAAAACACGCTGTATTCAAGGAAAAAATAAAAAACTTTGGACAAAATAAAAGCTCCTTCATCAGACATCGTCCTGTCACTCATTGATTGAAGGTAATCAGGCTTTCCTACCGTCTGTAGACAAGCTTTCTTGATCGCGCAGTTGAAAATGCAAGCATTTTGTGGTAAAGGTTATCCACTCGTACTATGGTTAGTCTACGCCCTGAAGGACAAAGTGGAATTACTACAGATTGTGAAGGAGGGAACAATGATTTCACTGTCGTAGCTTTACATTCTAGTCGCATTTGCAGAGAAATCTAGGAAGTGATAAAATTAATGAACAGAAGCACAGCACTCGTAACCATACTAATGTAGCGCCACTACAAGGTCATCGCAAAAGATGAAGAAACGAGCATTTAGACCGATAAGCTATCCCACCACAACTTAGTCATTCAGATCGATAAAAAATGTGGGTGTTTTGCTCTCGATTGATGTGTAACGGCTGGTACATCACCCACAAAACATCGGTGATGAATCAAAATAAAGTCTTTGCTCGTTGAACAATGCGCAACCGCATGCGACTTCCATTCGGAATCGTAGTGGCGTAATCAATGATTTTATCCTCCCAAGCGAATCTGATACCAATTTCTGACCCTGCGAAACGGGAGGCTTGGTTTCCCAAGGCGGTATCGATGCAGGGTTCGAACCCGAGACCATGTGTGTGAGATAGTGCGCCACTTGCTACTACGCCTCCTCCGCCCTTAGCAGAGCCTTTTAGGTTTGTCTTCTGGCTGGCTGAAGCGCGGCACAAGGCTTCTCAAGACGTCTGGATGAGAGTGTGTAAAGAGTAGTTACGATGCAATCCTGAGGAATCCTGGCGAAGTCTGGCGCATGTGAAAGGAATACTTCGACATGCTCCTAAACGAAGAATCATACCATGAGAACGACTCCCATGTTTAGGCAATGGCTGGCTTGATGGACATCTTGAACAGAGGATGGGATCCGTAGAGCATTAGGGGAGATGAAAGATATAAAAGCGACGGGTCCGGGTGGGTACCAACTGAAACCGATTACCATTCTCATGTTTAGGCAAAAGGGGAAGAAGTGTTCCAACTTCCGAGGAACAAGGTTGCTTGCTCACACAGTGAAACAGCACAAGCGGTTAGTTAAAACAACAATGCAGGAACTTGTATCGGGAGGAGCATAGGCTCTGCTTCCTGGCTACCCTCGGTTTAGGGAAGTCCTGCGATTGTTGCCCGTGACGAATCCCTGCTAGCGCTCCGAGAGCGAAACTTATGGAACACCTTGGCTTCCTGATCAAAGAACTTTAGATGCAATAAGACAGTCAGCTGCATCGTTCACGGTTCAACAAAAGAATAAAAGGCATGATTGGGGTACAACAGAATCAGCCTTGAAACCGTTCCTCTTAATGCTTAAAATGCCATCAAAGAAGAACTCCTGGATGGACTACTGAAGTCCATCCACTGTCTGATGACATCGCTTTGACAGCGGATAGTCGAGAACGACGTCAGAAACGGCAGAAAGTTCTGACGGAGAAAGGGCTCCGGCTGAATGTGATGACGGAGATCCTTAGCTTCGAGAGCCTCACGGAGTAAATCGTTGACGGTGTTGGAGAAGACATGGAAAGTGTACAGGAATCCCGATATCGGGGACGTAAGCTAGCCGTTAACGGTAGCGTGGACCAGCTGTCAGGCTTGAATAAACGCGGCATGGCATGCCCTTCGATCGTGGTAGGCCTACAACAATGGTAGGGCACTTAGTCAGAGGGCCATACAATCAGCAAATAAGGGAGA